TAAGTCGTTTCATTCGTGTCTGACTCTTTGTGACCCCATGGGCTGTAGCCCGCCAGGGTCCTCTGTCCATGGGATTCTCCAGGCAAGAATGCTGGAGTGGGTTGCCATGCCCTCCTCCAGGGGATCTTCTCAACTCAGGGATCCAACCTGTGCCTCTTATGTCTCCTGCACCAGCAGGTGGGTTCTTTTCCTATATTCTTTTTCTGACTATGGAAACTCTACTCCTTCTTAAAAATTCTGTTTACAAATGTCACTTCCTCTGTGAAGAACCCTTGCAAAGTACCTAAGATGCAGATTGCTCAGTAACTTTTTTTTATGAATAAGTGACTTAAATAAATAGCTTCACGACATCCCCTGGCAATATAGCTTAGTAGTTAAGTATGGTGTTTGGAAACGAAACTACCTGAGTTCAAGTCCTAGCTCCATCATTAGCTGTGTGACTCTAGACAAATTAGTTCTCTGAGTCCGTTTCCTCCTCTATAAACGATGGCAGCAGTGCACTGGTATTAGATTAGATGCTTGCACAAGCTCTTAGCACAGTTCCTGGCACACACCGAGTGCTCAGTAAGGGGAGGGGACTGTCACTATTGGGAGCTGGGTTTGCTTCTGGATAACCACCTTAAAGAGAGGACCACGTCTGCATCTTTGAATCTCCAGGCTTAGGAAAGAAATTGGCGCAGGATAGGTGTTCAATCAGTCTTTATGGAATTGAACATGATACACATCAGAAGGGGTGGTGAGTACCGAGAGAGAACCAGAGGAAGCTGGAGGGCAGAAAGTTAGTTTCCGACTTGAGGATCAAAAAAGGAAAGGAAAGAAAAGAGAAACCCTTGCGGGGAAGTAGTGGAAAATTTGGGCGGACTACTGAAATATGACTATGATTTTGCTAGGAAAACATGAAAGGTGGCGTGGGGCTGGGAGAGTGTTGGGGGCGGGGGCGGCGGGATGGCAGCTTCCAATAAAAAGAGATGCATTAGCCAAGGCATTACAGATGAGTGATCACAGACTCGAACTAGAGGGCAGGTGCAGGGTGAAGGTGGGCTCATGCGCAGTTGCAAAGGAGAATCACTGCAGCCTTAACCAGCACAGCGGAAACGGTCTCCACCCAGGAAGCCCCAGTATGTACAGGCCCGAGGGAAGGCACACGGCTGACCCCGCCCCACACGCTCCCTAGCATGGCCATGTGAGAAGGCTGTCACAGTGTGATGGCCACACATAAGCTAAGAGAGAAAGGTTCCTTGCCTCTTGGCTAAGAGCCCTCATCCCTCAATCAGCAAGCAGTGCCTGCTATGTACAGGGTGTCACATCAGGCACCAGAACCAAATAAACCAGGCTTTGTGGAGCCTGTGCGCTAGTACAGAGACACTCCACAGGCAAATAAACCATTCAGTACATTGAATTAAAAGGCCTGGGGGTGCTGAAGTCATGAGGGAAATAAACGGTGGATACCGGTGTGGCGGGAGCACCCGGGTAGGGCTGCCGTCTTAGATAAGGTGGTCCCGGGAGCTGTCCCCAGGAAGATGACATTCGTGCAGAGGTTGCCAGGAGGTAAGAGAGCAAGTCACACAGCGATCTGGGGGAGGAGCATGTTAGGGGGAGGGGACAGTGATGCAAATGTCTCAAAGCGGGAATGAACTTGGTACACCAAGGGAGAAGCAAGCAGGCCTGCAAGGCTGGAACAGGTGGGCAAGGAGGAGTGTGGCAGGAGATGAGGCCGGTTAAGGGGACAGGGACAGATTCCACAGGCCATGCTCAGGGACGTGGGTGATCCTTCCCTCCTCCATCAGGGGCCACTGCGTAGGGGGACGAGGGCCAGTGGGGAGGCCATCTGCAGACTGCGGCCAGAATCCAGACAGGGAGAATGGTGGCTTAGACCAGGACGACAGCAGACACGTGGCGAACAGCGATTGAATACGTGGTCGGGGCTGAAGATGGAGGCCCCAGGGCCTGCTGACCTCTCACAACAGAACGCGCAGTCCAGGTGCGCCCCTGGAGCCACCAGCCCGAGCGGTTGATTTCTTTCTCTGGGTGAGCTCATGCATGAGTCAGGCACACGTGTGACAGGGCAGCCGATAATGCCCGGTGTCCTCCCCACAAGGGAACAGACAATCAGTGGGCCCAGGCAGGGTGGATCTATTGGCTGACGGCAGGAACAGGTGCACTGGCAGGGCACGTGGCCGAGCCTTGGCACAAACGTGTCCTGAAAAGCTGCCAGCTTCTGATCTGGGGTAGGTTGACCCAGCAGGGCTGGACGGAAGCCGGCTGCACCTCCACCCAAAACCAGCCCACCGGCCAGCCTGGCACGATCCCAGCACGGGAGATGAGCTGCAAAGAGCATCAGGGCGCACAGCTCTGGCCCCGGAAGCCTAACTGAAGGCTTTAGGTGGAAGGGCGCTCCAACCACACAGACGGAACGTGTGTGCGCCGAGACTGGGCTCTCTCTTCATAAAGAGAAAAGAAAATGCAAGCGAGTCAGGGGGCACTTAGTTCAGAAGCAGAGCTCTTGTAGGACAGCAGGCACTTGATACAGAACACTCCCCCCCCACTCCACACCAGGGCTGGCGGCAGACTGCGATGGGGCCAGGCATGAAAGCGCCCCCGCGGCGCACTAATGCCACCTTGTTGTTCGGACTTGACTCTTGTTCTTCAAGAGCAGAATAAAGAAGACCCCGCTGGGAACCAGCCAGAGGCCTGGCCCCCTTCCATTGCGCCGCTGATATCAAGAACAAAGGTCGTGGACACTTTCCACGGGCCTTGCGGCAGACTCTCTTTTGATTTCCTTTTTAAGACAGGGAGGGGAAGTGCTCCCCTTTCCTGGTGAACAAACCTTAGCCTGGCAAATAGCTGGTTTTGCAGGTGGATGGAGCACCCCCCCAACCATTGTCAGTGACTTTGACTCTTAGAAAACGTTTCCTTCCGCATTATGCCTTTATTAGACTGGTTCTCGCCCCGAAAGTAATGGTCTAAAGGAGGTGGGGAGAAAAAAAACCCACTGTGCTGTTCCTGAACCCAGTGACTACTGAGAAGGAACAACAAAAGAAAGAAAAGACGTTTCGCATTTTAAGGGTATGTTCGGGCACCCTAAGAACTTAGCCGGTTCATAAATGACTTCATTTGAAAACTTCCAGCTTGAGATTCAGTCATTCTTCAATGAGAAATATGTGATTTGCCAAACATGAAATGGAATCATTAAGCCCTGACAAAATCAATTGGAGGCAAAGCAAAACTGTGTCTGCTTGTGCCCCGTGTTGCCTTCTCCTTAACAAATTAGGTATCCCCGCAGAAGGCATTCCAGACAGATGCTAGCATGGGGCCCTGCCTGGAAGAGGGATGCGCATGCATCATCAAAATGCATGCAGCTTGACTATTTCAGAGGCTTAACTGCCCATCCCACCCTACCCTCAATGTGCACACTCACACACACACACAGAAAGACAGAAAAGGGATTCTTCTAGATTTTTCTACACTTAAAGCACTGCTCAGACATAAACCAGGCACAGAAGAGGACTATAAAATAAAATGTAGGATGAAATTGTCTAGAACTATGCACACACAAAAGTGCTTGTAAAAACAGGTGTACTCTGAAGAAGGTCTGCAGTCTAGTTAGGGGTATTAGATCAGCATCAGTTTCCTGGTTTTGATATTGTACTCTAGTTATGGAAGATGTCAGTTAGGGGGAGCTGGGGGAAATAAACAAGGACTCGCTCCCATTTTTGCAACTTCCTGCAAATCTCTATTTATTTCAAAATAAAGAGTATTTTTAAATGCCAAATGTGTTGGTTCTACAGCAAGTGGCCTCTGACCAACTATATACCACATGATTATTCTGGTCCATTCTATTTTCATTATATGCAGGGTTGTTTGGGAGTGACCCCAGGAAATATTCACTGCCATTGGATTTCCTCCACCCTCCACATCTGCCTGGGGGTCCAGCCACTTCAACTCAAAGTCCCACCAGCTCTATCCTTGCTCCCAGGATTCTTAAGCTTTAAGGTGCATCAGAGTCATGGAAATGTATTTAAAATGTGAATTCCAGGGTTGGACACCCTACAGATCCTGTCTAAGCAGGAAATAGTTGAGGACTGGGAATCTGCATTTGCAACAAAAGCCCTGGGTGATTCTGTTACAGATGATCATAGGGTCCCACTTTAACAAACACAAGCAGGCTCGGGGTGAGTGCCTGGGAGCATGCCTGTATAGGCTCCCCATTGCAGGATGGGGAGAGAGGCGGCAGGCACTCCACATCCACATAGCAAGGTGCCCCCTGCAACAATGGAGAGAACTATAGCCCTCTTCTTCCAAATGCACGTAGCCAGTGACCTCCAACCCCAGTGCTTAAAGAAGGCTGAAAAAAGGCATAGGAGCCTCCTTCATTGATCCTTCAGTGGCTGTGACCCTGTGACATTTGGGTTAAAATATACAGTTTGCATTCTATCATTATGCCTACTACTTTTTACTGAGTGTTGATTATGTGTTAAGCACATCTTGTTTAATTCTCACCACACTGCCCTGAGGGAATTGTTATTTATTATCCCATTTTACAGATAAGAAAACTGAGGTTCTGAAAGTCCCAAAGTTACACTGGCAGAAAGTGGCAAAGCCAGGAGTTGAACTCAGGTACTTGGCTGCAAAGCTAATGCTACACCAAAACCAACACTTGAGGGCTTTTTGAAGGAGATGAGGAGGAAGATTTTCCAGATCCTTATTTCAGTGGCACTAATGTTCCTCTTCAACGTAAAGTAGATCCAAGCCTCTCAAAGCACCCTTCCATGACCCTCTGTCCTTCTCTCACCTCCATCTTCAATCCTGTTCTCTCCTACTCTTTCTCTACTCACACCTTTTCATTTCCTTCCTTTTCTCCCCAAAGTCCAAAATTACAGACTCAGTTTGCCTCGTGTCCCCCATTTCTAAGATAAGAATTTTCTCATACACTCCTCCTCCTCCCATCCAGGCTGTCTGAAGAAATAAGCATTAGGTTCCTAAAAAGGCAAATGACCTACCATTCTCGAGAGGACACTGCGGGATCTTGTTTGCTCGAAGGTTCCAAATATAATCCATGTTCCACTCAAGGCACACTTGATGATCTTTGAAAGGGCGTTCAAAAGGCGGGACAGTCTTCAACAGCGTGTAATTCTTTGCTACAGCATGTAGCAAATTTTCCTCCCATTTAACATTCAAGTCCCCACTGCTGTATTGGTGAGTAATCCAGGCGCGTAGTATCACCACAGATACTGAAATGGAGTGTCTGATGAAATAATCATCTCTGTAAACCATGATGCTCGGGAATTTCACATGTACGATTTGTGTTCTGCTGGTGTGAAGATGTTTCTCATTCTTCCACCTTTTTTTGTACACGGGAATGCTACTTCTGAACTCAGATGAAACAACTGCTTCCAAATTGACAACACAAGGCTGAGAGCATAAATACTCCACCGAGACTTCAGACACATTGCGAACATTCCCTTCGAAGATGGTGAAATAAATAAAGTCTTTGTAAGCCACACTTTGCTCCGCTCTGGGTATCACCGACGTTGTCAGGGAAGTCTGCCTGCCCAAAGACGGTACAACATTCTGAGAAGAAAAAAAAAAGAGAAGTAAGTTTAAAAACAATCATATTCTTGTTAATTTTCATTTTAATTGCTTTACAGGGCTTCTCGGGTGGCGCTAATGGTAAAGAACCTGCATGTCAATGAAAGAGACATAAGAGACACAGGTTCCGTCCCTGGGTCGGGAAGATCCCCTGGAGGAGGGCATGGCAACTCACTCCAATATTCTTGCCTGGAAAATCCCATGGATAGAGGAGACTGGTGGGCTATAGTTTATAGGATCGCAAAGAGTTGGACTTGACTGAATCGACTTGGCTTTCACACACATTTGTTTTACAATTCTGTGTTCATTTCTACTCTACAGCAAAGTGAATTGGCTATACGTATACATATATCCCTCTTTTTGCATTTATTTCCCATTTAAGTCAGCATAGAGGGCTGAGTAGAGTTCCCTGTTCTAGACATTGTTCTGATTAGTTATCTACTTTATGCATAGTATCAGCAGTGTACATATGTCAGTCCGAATCTCCCAATTCATCCCACCGCCCATATTAACAGCTACATGAATCATTATATTCCTGGAAGAAAAAAAATATCCATTTACATCAAGCAATGAAAGTGGAAGATAAAGGATGTCGAAAGCATTACCAAACAATTAGAGAAAAACCAACATACACACAAATGAAGATTAGGCCACATTAAACTCTCTCCCCAGACTGAGGAGCATCTGCTGATCAAAATGGGACTTTCAAAGCGACATGGCAATCATTCCAGAGTTGGTTTCCAAATGGAGGAGCTGGTTCAGGGCAAATCCTGAACAGTAGCCGTGAACAAGCCTTAGAGTGAAAAAGAGGCAATCCAGCTGCAGACATTTTCAAACTATTGTCCTGACTTCAAATGGTAGTCAAAAGCAGCCAAATGAGAGGATGGGAGAAGAGTTCAAAGTGGCGCTCGAGAGAACACATATCAGGGATGCCAACCTGGCCCCTTTTTCTCCGTAAGTTCTGAGCCAGGACAAGCCTACATTACGAATGAGCCAGCAGGAAGTTTCTATTGTTCCAAATCACACATAGGCAGACTCGGACCACAGACTGTGTAGTCTGATTTTTTTTTCACCATGGATGGCGCAACATGTGCCAAGAAAGATTTTAGCTGTGGGTTTATCTACTTGTTTCAATGATGAGGCCCTCTCAGTGTGGACATTCCTTCCAGAAAAAAATCTGGAAAGTTTGATCATGAAATCAAGGCAATGCTTTTTGACTAGGAGGCACAGATGGATGGATGCTAAGAGTTCTTCTCTAAATGAGACTTTCTGATTTAGACATCCAAAACACAGTCAGTTCAGTTTAGTTCAGTCGCTCAGTCATGTCCAACTCTTTGCGATTCCATGGACTGCAGCGAACCAGGCTTCCCTGTCCATCACCAACTCCTGCAGCTTGCTCAAACTCACGTCCATCAAGCCAGTGATGCCATCCAAAATCTCATCCTCTGCATTCTCCTTCTCCTCCTGTCTTCAGTCTTTCCCAGCATCAGGGTCTTTTCCAATGAGTCAGTTCTTTGCATCAGGTGGCCAAAGTATTGGAGCTTCATCTTTAGCATCAGTCCTTCCAGGGAATATTCAGGACTGATTTCCTTTAGGACGGACTAGTTTGATCTCCTTGCTGTCCAGGGACTCTCAAGAATCTTCTCCAATGCCAGTTCAAAAGCATTAATTCTTTAGCTCTCAGCTTTCTTTATAGTCCAACTCTCACATTCATACATGACTACTGGATAAACCATAGCTTTGCCTAGACAGACCTTTATTGGCAAAGTAGTATCTCTGCTTCTTAAAATGCTGTCTAGGTTGGTCATAACTTTTCTTCCAAGAAGCAAGCGTCTTTTAATCCCATGGATGCAGTCACCATATACAGTGATTTTGGAGCGAGCCCAAGAAAATAAAATCTCTCACTGTTTCCATTGTTTTCCCATCTATTTGCCAGGAAGTGGTGGGACCACATACCATGATCTTAGTTTTCTGAATGCTGAGTTTTAAGCCAGCTTTTCCACTCTCCTCTTTCACTTTCATCAAGAAGCTCTTTAGTTTTTCTTTGATTTCTGCCATAAGGGTGGTGTCATCTACATATCTGAGGTTATTGATATTTCTCCTGGCAACCTAGATTTCAGCTGGTGCTTCATCCAGCCCAGCATTTCACATGATGTACTCTGCATATAAGTTAAGTAAGCAGGGTGACAATATACAGCCTTGACGTACTCCTTTCCATTTGGAACCAGTCTGTTGTTCCATGTCTGGTTGTAACTGTTGCTTCCTGACCTGCATACAGATTTCTCAGGAGGCAGGTCAGGTGGTCTGGTATTCCCATCTCTTGAAGAGTTTTTTCACAGTTTGTTGTGACTCATACAGTCAAAGACTACTGTAATCAATAAAGAGAAGTAGATGTTTTTCTGAAACCCTCTTGCTTTTTCAATGATCTGACGGATGTTGGCATTTTGATCTATGGTTCTTCTGGCTTTTCTAAATCCAGCCTGAACATCTGAAAGTTCATGGTTCATGTACTGTTGAAGCCTGGCTTGGAGAATTTTGATCATTACTTTGCCAACATGTGAGATGAGTACAATTATGTAGTAGTTTGAACATTCTTTGGCATTGCCTTTCTTTGGGATTGGAATGAAAACTGACCTTTTCCAATCCTGTGGTCACTGCTGAGTTTTCCAAATGTGATGGCATACTAAGTGTAGCACTTTCACAGCATCATCTTTTAGGATTTGAAATAGTTCAACTGGAATTCCATCACATCCACTAGCTTTGTAGTGATGCTTCCTAAGGCCCACTTGGCTTCACATTCCAGGATGCCTGGCTCTAGGTGAGTGATCACACCGTCATGGTTATCTGGGTCATAAAGATATATTTTTGGTATTGTTCTTCTGTGTATTCTTGCCACCTCTTAATATCTTCTGCTTCTGTTAGGTCTATACCATTTCTATCCTTTATTGTGCCCATCTTTGCATGTATGTTCCCTTGGTATCTCTAATTTTCTTTAAGAGATCTCTAGTCTTTCCATTCTCTTGTTTTCCTCTATTTCTTTGCATTGATCACTGAGGAAGGCTTTCTTATCTCTCCTTAGTATTCTTTGGAACTCTGAATTCAAATGGGTATATTTTTCCTTTTCTCCTTTGCCTTTAGCTTCCCTTCTTTTCTCAGCTATTTGTAAGGCCTCCTCAGACAACCATTTTGCCTTTTTGCATTTCTTTTTCTTGGGAATGGTCTTGATCACTGCCTCCTGTATAATGTCACAAACCTCCATCCATAGTTCTTCAAGCACTCTATCATATCTAATCCCTTGAATCTATTTGTCACTTCCACTATATAATCGTTCGGGATTTGATTTAGGTCATACCTGAATGGTCTAGTGGTTTTTCCTACTTTCTTCAATTTAAGTCTGAATTTTGCAATAAGGAGTTCATGATCTGAGCCACAGTCAGCTCCCAGTCCAAAACGCAATAGCAAAAAGGTTACTCTGGACCCCTTTACTCCCATTGGAATGGCTATTATTAAAAAATAAAAAATAGAAAGGACCAAATGTTGGAGAGCATGCAGAGAAATCAGAACACTTGTGCATTACTGGTGGGACTGTAAAATGGTGCACCCACTGCTTCACCAGTACTGCAGTCTCTGAAAGAAGAAAGCACAGAATTACCATATAATTGAACAATGCCACTTCTGGGTCTATACCTGAGTTGAAAGCAGGGACTGGAAAAGATATGTTGGTAGACTTACAACCAGCTTCACAGCAGCATCATTCATAACACCAAAAAGGTAGGTTTTCTGAGCTTCCCTGGTGGCTCAGATGGTAAAGAATCTGCCTGCAATGCAGGAGACCCGGGTTTGGTCCCTGGGTCAGGAAGATCCCCTAGAGAAGGAAATGGCAACTCACTCCAGTATTCTTGCCTGGGAAATCCCATGGACAGAGAAGCCTGGCCGGCTATAGTCCATGGGATCACAAAGAGTTGAACTCGATTGAACAACTAACATTTTCAAAAGGTAGAAACAACCCAAATGTTCACTGATGGATGGACAGATAAACAAAATGTGGTAGAGACATACTATGGAACATTATTCAGCCTTAAAAAGGAAGGGAATTCTGACACATGCTACAATATAGCTAAACTTTGAGGACATTATGCTAAATGAAATAAGCCAGTCACCAAAGAATGAATACTGCTTGATTCCACTTACATGAGTTACCAAGAGAAGTGAGAGTCACACAGATAGAAAGTAGACTGTTGTTTACGAGGGTCGACGGGGAAGGGAAATGGGGAATTGTGCTTCAGTGAGCACAGAGTTTCAGTTCTGCAAGCTGAGAAGACTGCTGGAGACGGATGGTGGTGATGGCCACACAACAGTGTGAATGTACTTACTGGCACTGAACTGTAAATTTTTAAATGGCTAAAATAGTAAACGTTTTGCTATGAATATTCTCACCACAATTTTGAAGAAAAAGGTCACTGTAGTCTTCTCCAGAGGAGGAAGAAGCAGGGAGCCCTTTCTTCAGTTCTGCAGGAGGGGCAAAGGTGGACAGCACACAGAGTCCGGGATCAGGGAATCAGATTTGCAAATAGCGGGGACACGGGACAGGACGTGGGCAGCGCGCCAGTCACACTGAAAGCAAAGCCCTAAGGGGACACGGCACCAAACGAGTCATCTTGACTGGGGGCTCTGGGACAAGTTTTGTGGAGGAAATGGCATTTCAACAGGGCTTTGAAGAGTTCTTTCGGTAAAGAGGCAAAGTCAGAACACTGCAAGTGTTGTGGACAGCTTAAGGAGAGGCATGAAGGCAGGAAACGTGGCCGTCCGGGGGTCCGGCAAGCAGCTGGATTTAGTCCGAGAACAAAACAGGGTAAAAACACAAAAGGGCATGGGAATGTGAGGGTGAAAAGAAAAGCAGAACCTCAGCTCTGGAGGATATCGAATTTTAGCCCAAGGAAGGTGGACTTGTATTCTACTGACAGTAAAGAATCGATAAAGGT